AAAAAACAAAAAAAAAAATATAGAAGAAAAATCAAACGCCAAGTGAATACGTTGAAATATTTTTCCACTGTGCACACCAAAAATAAAATAACCTCGTTGAAATTGAACAAACGTACACACCCACATCCACACCCACACACAAGCCCACACACATACACATTTATATACATAATATCTTCATGATTTTATGTAATAATTTTTCATCTTTCCATTTCTCCTCATATTTTCTTCATCATTTCTCTGTTACTTGTTTCTCATCCTCATTCTCAAACGTTCAACCACCGTCATAACAATCACCATCACTACCACCCTTATATTCGTAATTTAATACAATTAAGTCGAGCGTTAAAATATCGTTCTTAATTCTCTGACGGGTTACGCTTTGTTTTTCTCTGCGAATTTTTTCTATTTTTTTATTTTTTGTTTTTTTTTTTTTCTGTTTGTTTGTTAGAGTTTCTACTTTGCGTTGGCTATTTTCCTTCCTACCCTTCATCTTCATCTTCTTCCGTCCGTCCCAACCCCTCAACCAACCATTTGCCCTTCTCTAACTCTTACCTTTTCGTCTCTCGTACCTCACATTTCCTCTCTCCCCCCCCCACCACCTCTCCTCAGGACCCATCTTCTTCCCCTGACCATTCTTTTTTTCACAAATATCTTCTACTTTTCGTTTCACGTTCGTTCGTTTTCTTTCTTTTTACCACCGGCCCCCACCTTACCCCCTCATCACTGCCTCCTACTCTCCTCCCACCGTTTTTTTTTTGTACCACTTCTCCTCTCACCATTTTTTCATCTTTCCTTTTTTTAATTCTTTATTTTCTGGTGCTCTTTCGAATTATAAAATATGATTCATTTTTATATAAACAACACTCGTACGTTTCCTACGCGAGTTGCGAGTTTACCACTGTCTCTATCTCTTTTTCTTTCTTTCTTTCTTTCTTTCTTTCACTTCTTTCTTTCATTTCTTTCTATCTTTATTCCTCTTATAAAAATTCTAATTAATTACATGGAATCCTGTAAACGACGAAGCCAAGTAAAAAAAGAAATCTACCCCTTTTCCCATTTCCCCTTCTCTTCTCCTCTCTCTCCCCCTTCCCCCTTCTCCCCTCCTCTTCCAAACCCTTTTCTCTCTCTCTCTCTTCTTTTCTCATTCTATTTTTTTTTTTTTTGGTAACCTCGTCTGGTATAATTCTTGTGGTGTTTTTTTTTGTTTTTGTTTGTTTCGTTTTCTCCCCATAGTTTTTCTTTTCCGCGTTTTTTTATTTTTTTGTCTCGTTTCTTCTTTCTACTTTTCTTTTTGAATTTTTTTTATTTTTTTTTTTATTTATTTTTTTTTTTTTTAAACAATCTGACGAGTAAGAACAACAAAAAAATTTGAAGAAAAGGAAAATCATCATCGAGTAAGAAACTTTGAGATTTGTTTATTTCTACGTAACAGATAGAAAACAAAATCTCTTTGGCATGTGTAAAAAGAATATACAACGGTTGACGACGAAATATATATTTACAGAAAAAATAAGATAATAAAAAAAAACTAAAAAAAAAAAAAAAAAAATAGTTGGCAAGGAAAGGACTGAGGTGGAGAAGAAGAAAAACTCGTTTGAAAGTTTCATCGAGCTTTTCGCGTGACGTTTATATTTTATTTTATTTTTTTTTCTTTCTTTCTTTCTTTCTTTTCTCCCCTCCCCTCCCCCCTTCTCCCCACCCACACCTTAGTTCGTTCTTTCCTTTTCTCAAAGATTTCTTTTTTTTTTGTATTTTGTTTGAAACATATAAATGTATAGGTACACGTACATATACACATACGTAAATATATCGTCCCCCCTTTTCATCCTACTTTTCCATTGGAATCACACACACACACACACACGACCATACATACACATACACGTTTATATACACGTAAATTTCTCGTGTTCATACACGTGTTATACATATTTGTATTCATGTATGTAATCGTGCATGTATAGAAATATAGATAGGAGTTAGAGTTAGGTTTGGATTGGGGTGGGTTAGATGTTGGGGTTTTTGTTGAGGTGGGGATACATTTCTATGGGTAGAGGATTTGAGTATGGGAACTTCAACCAAAAATTTAGCAAAGTTTTGAGAAACGTTTCAGTCATGATGGGATGAGAGATTCCGCGGTTCCTTTGCATTGCGGAAAGCACCCACCACCCTAAAGACTTCTTGCTTTTTGGATTCCTACCATCAATTTACTTTTTTCTACGTGTCTCTTTTTTCATTATTTATCATTCAAACCATTCTTCTTTTTCTATTATTTTATTTATTTATTTATTTATTTATTTATTTAATTTGTTTGAAAAATAAAACTTTGAACAAGGGGTTGATATTTTAATGTTGGTTGACAAGTATGGGGAATTTTCTAAATGTAATTAAAAAATTAAATATAAATATAAAAAATTTAACAAATAAAATGTAACACACAAACACACACACACACACACACCTGAACATTTGTGTATATGTAAAAATGATAAATAAATGATAAAAAATAAATTATGGGAAATGGGTGAAAAATAAATCAAATAAAAGAAAATACAAAAAATAGAAGAAATGACTCGACAATTCTAACAAGAGTTAAACCTCCCATGTCGACAGGGTCACAACCATAACCAACCCCTTAGTCTATTCCCCGTACGTCACGGGACTCTAAGGAGAGGTACTTGTTAGATTTTTTTCGTTCGGCGAACGCAAAGTAAGCATGAAAACAAACGTTATGACTTAACGGTCGAGACGAGAGGGTTTGGTGGTACGGATGATGAACGTGTTGAGTATAAAGTTAGTACGAAATTATATTTATATATAAATACATATATGTATATATGTGTAAAGTAATAGAGTGGTAGTAGGTCGCAGGTTGTGTTTTTTATGTATTCCAGTTATACGCGTGTAACGTAACTACTCTCACTGAGCTTTACTCCATGTTTACTTTTACTTGGTAAAAAAATCTGGAATCGTTGCTAAACTGTGTATGTGTATGTGTATTAGTATGTGTGTAAGAATTTGATGGTGTGCGAAAGACCACGGGAAAGTATAGGAATGCGTTTTGCCGAGTTGTGCTTTACCCGACTGAGTTTTCCATCGTGAGAAGAGCCCGAACCGAGCTTTTGCAAAGAAAAAAAAAAATAAAGGAAGAAAAGAAAAAAAAACACATACACACACGCACACACACACATACAAAAAGAAAAAGAATGAAAGAAAAATAAGAGAATGAGAAATAGAAAGAGACTAGGTGCTCGTAGTGAACCTGGTCCAGGGGGTGTACAGGAGGATTACGAGAGAACAAGGGATGAGGAGTAGGAGGATGCAGAAGAAGAGTGGGATTGTTGGGGGGAGTTTTGGATAAGGGTGGGTGGTGGTTGGTTGGTCTCGACGACGACGACGACTACGACGATTACGACGACGTTGGTAGACGACGCAGACTATGACGACAACAACTGACGGGGTTAAAAGGCACTTCTAATGGTATTGTGAGCGTTCAAACAAACACGCGGAATGCTTAGTAGTTTTTTAAAAACTGTGGGAAACTCCGCGCTTTACCTAAACCCTTCTTCTTCTTCTTCTTCTTCTTCATCTTTCTTTCTTTCTTTCATTTTCTTTTTCTTTTACTCTTTAACCTCTTCTCTTTCTCTCTCTCTTTTTGTTTTCTGTAAATCTGTCTTCGTCTCTATCTTTTCTTTTTTTCGTCTTCCCCGACACAACCTAGCCACTTTCTTTACTTATATTTATTTTTCGTTTATAGTCTGTCTCTCTTTCTCTCTCTCTCTCTCCCTTTTTATATGTTTTTNCTTCTCTTTCTCTCTCTCTTTTTGTTTTCTGTAAATCTGTCTTCGTCTCTATCTTTTCTTTTTTTCGTCTTCCCCGACACAACCTAGCCACTTTCGGTTTGTTTTGTTTTATTACTGTTATTATACAGCTATTCTTCTTTTTTTACCTTTCTTCTTTCACATTTTTTTTTTTTTTTTATTCTTTTTTAACGTCTCGCACTTTCTGTCCAATTTATGATTCATTTATTTTAAAAAATATTTTTTCTTTTTTAACATATTAATTATTTACTTAATATCTTGAACCAATACATTTTCTTTCTTGTATACTTCAACCATTTCTTTTTGACTTTAGTCAAAGAAAGAAAGAAAGAAAAAAAAAAAAGAAGAATACAACAACCCCCGTTTCCCATGAAGTGGGTGGGTGAAAGAAGTCTTTGTGTTTTCTATATCAAATATTTATTTTCTTAAATAACGCAGAGTATTCCTACTGTAAAGGGGGAGGGGGACGAATCCGCGAGTATTCTTTTCCCTTAATAAATTATCAACGATTATTGGCCGCATTTGCTTCCATCTTTTTCTTTCATTCATTTCGACATTTCTTACAAACTCATCCCTTACTACCATTCCCATCTTCGCTTTTCTCTTCTTTTACCCCCACAACAAGCAACTCTTA